CCCGAGTCCCCGCTCTGCGCCCTCGCCCTGCCCGCCGCGAGGGAGCAAGAGCCGGAGGGAAGAGTGAGGGTCCCTGAGTTTCCCCCAACTTCACAAGCGAGGTGAAGGGGGCGCGTGCACAGCGTCGGGCGCATCGGCCTCGCCTCACGTTGCCCGTCCAGTGGCAGAGCCCGAAGCACCGACGTGAAACGTTTGCAAAGGGAAAGAGCGCGTTTGACATCCGTGGGGCCGGCGAGAGACTGCGCTGACCCACAGCGCGGCGGGACCGGCCCTCTCGCCTGCAGCCCTCGGGGCCCAGCCCGCAGCCCACCCGCGGTCACGCGTGTCTCGCGTCCGCTTTCAACCCCCCAGCGTATTTCCTGCTGTCTCTGCACGTGCTGAGCGAGTGTCCCTGCCTCGGACAGGGCGGCTGGAGGACAGGTGAGCACGGGCGAGTGGGGGCCCGAGGTGGCGGCGGTGGTGGACAGGGACAGGGGACAGGAGGGCCGCGCCGGGAGGGTGACAGCCCCGAGGGCGCGGGCGTCTCGCCCCGGGAGCCGGGGAAGTAAGTGGCGCCTCATCTCTCTTTCATTTCATCTCACGGGCTCTAGTCTGTCTCGTTTCCAGGAAGGTTTTGATGCAGTTCGTTGAACACCTACTATGGGCCGAGGACTCCACCGGCGTCATTGCTTCATTTTGGGGACCCTGAGAGGGAAGCGACCTACCAAGAAGGGCCGGCGGCCGTGTCTGCACAGGGGCCTCTCAGGCCACCCACGCTCAGGGGCCGGCCTGCCCCGCGCTGCCCGCCCGCTGCCCGCCCACCCCGCGCCAGCACCCGAGCATCCCTCCCGCAGGATTCCCGGATCCTATTTCAACCAATAGGACCAAGGCTTTCCCTGTCCAATCGGAGCTGTGCGTATCTCCCCGCCAACCAATCAGAGCGGCCTTATTCTGACCAATCAGGACAGTGCTTTTGCACCAAGCGCGCCCCGAGGCCGTGGAGCCCTAACTCGCTCGGGGTGGACCCAGGGCCTGGGCGGGGCCTCTCTTGTCAGTCGGTCCCCTGCGGCTGGAGGCCGGTCACCCGCTGGACTGAGAGCCCGAGACGCCTGGACGGGAGCCGAGCCGAGCGGGGCCTGGCCGGGCCGCCCCTCAGCGGCGCTGTCGGGAGGGACACCCGGAATCGAGTTTCCTTCGCTGCGCCCCAAGTTGGGCGCCCCCTGCTGGTGCGGAGCCGGCGCCGCGAACCACCGGTGGACGACCGAATACTCAGGATCCCCTGCGGGGAGCACGCGCGGAGCAGGTAAGGGGGCTTCGCTCAGTTCCCGGGGGATGAAACCGCGTCTAAGCAACCTGCTTGCCCCAGTATCCTTAACGCAGGGGCTCTGTTCCGACCCCTAAGGGGGCGCCCCCGAACCTCCTTAAACTCCCTGCGCAGGAGTCCGTCCCCCCGGGGCCCGCAGCCCGCACGCTCGGCCGGCCCGTGCGGCTCTGCGGCTCTGAGCGTGATTTGTGATAGATTCGGGAGAGAGTGTTGTTTCGTTGTCACGAACTCTTTTCAACATGGGGCCGATATGAAGACATGATACCCACGGAGCCACCTCCCAGCTTAGAATAATAAAATATTACCGCTGGAATTGCGGCTACTTTTATACACTTGCTCAGTCCCGCCCCCACCCCACCCTCACCCCATCTCCAGGTAACCTACCTGTGTTGTCTATTAGCAATTTCTTTTATACGTTTATGGCATACGCATATGTTCTTAAATAACAAACTTTTTATTTAATGTTATACAATGGGCCTCGTAATACTGTTCTTTAATTAAGGTACAGTTGCCTGGTATAATTACCTAGAATTACTGTAGATATGTCAACAGTCATTGCTTTTTATTGGCCTGCTAGGTAATCTGTAATCTTCCCACGTCCTGTGGTTTAGAGGTGGCTCTGGGAAACAGCACACACCTGAATTACTTTAAACTCCAATTTGACAATCTCTCATTTTTTTAACTGGAGAGTTTGGTGCATTTACATTTATTGTTATTACTGATTCATGTGAACTTATTGTTAACATTTTATTTTATACTTTCTACTTGTTTTCTATGTCCACGCTTCTTTTTAAGCCCTCTCGTTTTGTATCTTTTGGATTTCTTTTTAAGGAGTTTTTTTGTTTGTTTCACCTTAACGTGGGGAGAAGGAAGGAAACGTGTTAAGAAACCAAGTTGCAAGCGAGAACACACAACGCAATGCCTTTTTAAACAAAGGAGGGGGAAGGAATTATGACGTCAGTATCTCTGCGTGTGGCTGGGGCTGTCTGGACACATACCCAGGAGAGCTGGTTGCGATTTTCCGCGAGTGGCGCTCACAGGACAGCGAGCCTCGCCAGGCCAGGAATGGGCGGGCACGGTTGTTTTCCCCTTTAGGCTTCCAGGCTTTTCCCTACAACAACCGTGCTTATTTTTATGATACTTTAATATTTACATGGACAACAGAAACAATTCCTTTTTAAGTATTTTCGAATTCACCGTGGTTTTTCTGTTGCCATAATAATGCTAATGTTCTGGTTAGTTTGAAGGATAAACCTGAAAATAAGAGGCAGAAAATTGACTCTTTGGACGGTAAGTCATAGGTGAGGAGAGAAAGGAGGGCAAAGGGGTTGTCTGATTTAAGAAGACAGAAAAAAAGTAAACAGGGCAAGCTCCTGGTCTCCAACCTAAATTAAACATGAGACTTGGGCACCGGTCCTCATGCCCCATCCCTCCAAAACCTACTGAGAACAAACAGCGAAGAAGAGGGGGCATGTCCTCCAAGCCAGCAGAACACTCAGCCAGACGACCAGTCGGGGGGTCCGGCCAAACACCCAGAGGCAGAGAAAATACAGTCAGTGCCTGGTGGACGAAGGTAGATGAAGCCAATATGTTATCGAAGGAAGTGGAAGAAAGGCCCCACTTTTGTTAGCGTTCCAAACGGATTCTACAGGCTCGAAAAGGGAACTTTTGCCCTGGCCAGTGTGCTCAGTGGTTAGAGCATCTTCCTGCACCTGGGATGGTGGCCGGTTCGATTCCCAATCAAGGGCACGTCCGTGAGCTGTAGGTTCGATCCCCAGCCCTGGTCCGGCCAGTGTGGGAAGCAACAAATCTGCATGTGTCCCTCTCACAGCGATGTTTCTCTCTCTCCCTCTCCCCCTCCCTTCCACTCTCTCTAGGGATCAGCGAGAAAAAGTGTCCTCACTCCTTGGGTGGGAGAGGGTTTAAAAAAAAGAAAGAAAAGGGAACTTTTTTCGTACTCATTTCTGATACATGACAGATGTGACATGTCCAGCTGGAGGTCAAGTCTTACATGAACCTATGAATTTCCTAATGAAGGGCTTGGAGCATGTTATTAAACAATGACTGGGTTACCGATACGATCAAGAAAGAATCAGAAACTGCCTGGAAACAAATGAAAATGACACACAACAACCCAGAACCTATGGGACACAGCGAACGCAGTCCTGAGAGGGAAGGTCACAGCACGGCAGGCCTCCCTCAGAAAGCAAGAAAAGCTTTTAGTAAAATATCTAACCTACAACTTAAAGAATTAGAAAGCTCCCCGGGAAAGGCGTCCAGACCAGGGCTTTTGTTTGCTGGGAGTTGTTTTATTGCTGCTTCGATTTCATCAGTTGTTATTGGCCTAGTCAGGTTTTCTGATCCTTCCTGATTCAGTTTCACATGATCTCACTCATACGTGGAATCTAATAAACAAAACAGACTGAGAAACAAAATAGATCCAGAGACACAGAAGCCTGGACAGACTGAGGGATCTCAGAGGGAAGTTGGGGGTGGGTGGGGAGAGATTAACCAAAGAGCTTCTCTGCACATATGCATACCCCATGGACACAGACCATAGTGTGGGGAAGGCCTGGGGGGGGATGCAGGGTGGAGGGGGTCAATAGGGGGAAAAGGGAACATCTGTGATACTTTCAACAATAAAGATAAATGAATAATAATAAAGACATAAAATAAAATAAAGGGCTTGAAAGCGTTTAACTACTTCTCTTGTCCAAGTTAACTCAAGAATTCGGGTTGAGGAACTATGTCCTTTTGTCACCACTTGGTGGCAACGTGACCTGCAGGGGTGGTGACGACTTCACCGATCCAGATACACTTTCCCAGGAGCAGGGAAATTCTTTCAGGCTCCCCAGGACAATGGCACATGTCACCCTTCCCTTTCTCAAAGATCAAGCAGCATTCTGCAGCCTCCTTAGGAAGACAGGAAGAGGGCTGGGTCCAGGGGAGCTGTAATCTGTCTAGAGACAGTAATTGGAGTTTTATTCACAAGCCATATGTAGAGAATCACAGAGGAATGCACCTAAATTAGGTTAAATATATCTGAAATGTCATTTGCAAAATTAGTTTGTAATATACCATATTCCCCTGACCTGCCGTTAAATAGATTTGGGGTGATGTACGTCTAAGCAGTTTTCCACCCGAAGTTTCTAACTCTTATCTCCTTAGATTCTCCTGGGAGTCTTGTCCAGGGCACTTATCTCCCCCTGGTTTTAATACAGAGTTTTTCCAACACAAACACTGTTAAACAACACATAGCAACGTAAATATATATATATATATATATTTATATTTATATATAATAAATTTATATATATTATTTATATATAATAAAAANTCTTATCTCCTTAGATTCTCCTGGGAGTCTTGTCCAGGGCACTTATCTCCCCCTGGTTTTAATACAGAGTTTTTCCAACACAAACACTGTTAAACAACACATAGCAACGTAAAAATATATATATATATATTTATATTTATATATAATAAATTTATATATAATATTTATATATAATAAAATATATATATATATATNAAATATATATATATATATATATTTATATTTATATATAATAAATTTATATATATTATTTATATATAATAAAAAATATATATATATATGCAATGTTGTCTTCACAAAACAGTCATTTGTCACTGAGAAATTACTAGTCTCTCCAGCCTCAAAACAGACCGGTCGGCAGGAAGCAGCTGTAGAAACGCAAACTCATGGAAGGAAGAGTAATAAGCCGTTGTCCCCACCCTTCCACTCATGGGACACCCGGACTCTTCCCCCTCGGGGTCAGCCCTCCCTTCCTTATGGTGATGGCGGAAGCCAGGTGAGTCACCATGGCAGGTGCGGGGCCCGGGGCGAGGACCCTCCTGGGCCGCGGGTTTCCCAGGCCCCGCAGGCCCCCGAGGGAGGGAGCGAACGGCGCCAGGCTCTCAGCGGAGGTGTGTGTGGGTGACGCAGACGGGCCCAGAGGAGATGTAGAGGCAAGAAAGCCTGAAGTCCACTGTACTTTGCCTCCTGGATCCTCAAGACGTCTGGACTGAGACATGGAACATTATCTCGTTAATGAAACATTATCTTATCAATAGGCCAACAGGACCAGTTTTAATATTGAACCTGAAATGACATATTGCAAAATAGGAAACTTGCTGGTGTGTGTTTTGATTTATAAATATATAACAACTATTGCTGTCATCTAATTAGTAACAGAGCCCTTACTATTTTTTTTCTATCATTGTTATCATTTTCGGGATATATTCAGGTTGCCCCAATAGTCTTCAAGTTCTCATTCAGCCTCGTGACGTTTTGTGCATAATGCTTTGAATTCCTCAAGTTCGACTTAGAATAAATTAGTCTCATGTCAGACACAATATTATGTAGGGATTTCTGTTTTACGGATACTTCAGGAAGAATCTGTGATGGCGAGTTTGGGATGGAATCAGACGGACTAAGAAACACTTTGATGAGGACTCTTCAGAAGTTTGCCACAGACTCGCCCCTCCCAGGAGAAGGCCTTGGTGTGGTCTCCACGGGATGCAGTGTGTCCCGGTGGAGTTGGAGAGGCCTTGGTGTGGTCTCCACGGGATGCAGTGTGTCCCGGTGGAGTTGGAGAGGCCTTGGTGTGGTCTCCATGGGGCGCAGTGTGTCCCGGTGGAGTTGGAGAGGCCTTGGTGTGGTCTCTGGGGCGCAGTGTGTCCCGGTGGAGTTGGAGAGGCCTTGGTGTGGTCTCTGGGGCGCAGTGTGTCCCGGTGGAGTTGGAGAGGCCTTGGTGTGGTCTCTGGGGCGCAGTGTGTCCTGGTGGAGTTGGAGAGCACCTGGGTTCCCGGGAAGCAGAAGGCACGGCTCCGTGCTCACACCTGGTCGCACAGACGGCACTGTTTGGGTAGCTGATACCTGCGTGGCATTCTGTGACGTGCGCAGCTCACGTGGTGTTTGTTCCATCCTGATAAATCTGTGCAGATTCAAAAGCCGGGAATTTCTTAACATTTCCATCTGCTCAGCATCTCCCTGTTGGTACATTTTGTTCCAAGTAGGCAATCGAGTACCTGAGCCGTTATTGCCTTTTGTGCAAGGAATTAGCGATAATAGACTCTTGCCTAGAGTGTTTTTGTTTTGAAAGCGTTTACCTCGGATTTCTGGCCTGGGTACCTTACTTCTGGATAATTTGAATGTCTCTCGGTTCCTGTGGGTCAGACTTCGCATTGACCCACCCAGGTGAGGCCACCAAGGTCCCTGGTCTGGTTTATTGTAATAGTTTCCTAGCTAGTCCATCAGCTTCAACACTCAGCCCCCCACAGACGGCTCAGGAGTGCTCTACAGATCTTGAATTTCATTGAACAAGCCTCCTCCGCGGTGTGTACCAGGCCTGGCGCTGTGAGTGGGCGCAGTGATCATCATGGCTGATGCCCCCGCCAGCAGGAGCTAAAAGTCGTGTCGAGACGTAAAAGCTGGTGGTCTCTTTCATGTACCGTTGCTTCCAAGCTGAAAAAAACATTTCTCAAAAATCAAAGACCTAGAAGGCTACGATTAAAACAAAAAGACCGTAAATTATATGCCACTTGGGTTAGTATGGCTGATTTCACAGAGGAGCTTTCTTGTGAGCCGAGGCACCTTGACAATCAAGAGCCCAGTTAACACCAGCTGGTGTGGCTCAGTGGCTGAGCATCGGCCCAGGAACCAGGTCACTGAATTGATTTCCCGTCAGGGCACATGCCTGGGTTGCAGGGTCGATTCCCAGTAGGGGGTCTGCCGGAGGCAGCCGACCAATGATGTTTCTCTCTCATCGATATTTCTATCTTTCTCTCTCTCTCTCCCTTTCTCTCTCTAAAATCAATAAGAACATATTTTAAAAAAAGAGCCCAGTCACCCTCTGAGCACTGGCCCTGCAGCCATCACGGTTTCCCGGGAGCCAGCTGTCACCAGAAGGGATGTCTTACCAGAATCCAACATGCTGCCCCCGACAAGGGCCCATTCACGGGCAGCTTAAATATGAGATACCAGACGATCCTGTAAACTCTCCACAGGCCTCTTCAAGGCTCCACGGATGCACGTCGGGGGTCCCGTGATGAAGACACACCAGCCTCGGGGAGGGTTAGAGACCTGTGCTGTGTTAATCAGATGACAAACGGGCGGGGAAAATGTGCCCTTATCTCCTCTGCTTGCCCTGCGCCCATCAGCAAATCCTGCGGGCGGATTGCTGAACAGAACAGCTTCAGGATTCCACTCCAGGCTCAAGCAACTGGGGAAAAAGGCAAATTCTGAACAAGAAGGTATAAAATTAGAGGACGGAGAGAGAAGAGCCTGGTGGTACGGACTGTGGTGTGTGTCCCCCCGAGGCGAGTGGAGGGCCAGGTCCTGGTTCCTAACACCAGCCTCGCCCACCAGGCTGGCTGGATGCAGGTCCTGAGTGCAGGCAAAGCAGGCCCAGGCGCCGCCCTCCCGGTTCTCACGCACCGTCTGCAGGGGCAGAAAACATGCATCGTAATCAGCCTCTAGGATCCCCAAGTGAGGGACATCGATTTGCTCATATGAATAGTCCTTTGTCTTGAGTCACAGAGGTGCCACGGGAGGAACCATGAGCTCAGAACCAGAGACGTAGGTTTAAGTGACTATCCAGGTGAACTTGAACAAAAATTTAACTCCCCGAGCCTTAGTTTTCCCACTGTAAACAGACATCCTGTTACGTGGCACACCTGTCTCATTTTACAGGGAGGTGTCATTACTGTTACTGTGATTAATAATACGCTATTAATCATAAGTGATTTTCATTACTGATATTAACTTTATTAATAAAGTTGATGTTTATTGAGAACTTACCATGTGCATTATCTCACTAAAGTCACATCCAGCCCGGCCGGCGTGGCTCAGCGGTTGAGCATCGACCTAGGAACTGGGAGATTGAGGTTTGATTCCCGGTCAGGGCACATANATTCCCGGTCAGGGCACATGCCCAGGTTGTGGGCTCCTCGATCCCCAGTAGGGGGCGTGCAGGAGGCAGCTGATCAATGACTCTCATCACTGATGTTTCTGTTTCTGTCTCCCTCTCCGTTTCTGTCTCTGAAGTCAATAAAAATATATTTTAAATATATTTTAAAAAACAAACAAAAATAAATAAAGTCCTACAAACTAAATACAGTGATGTCCGATTTATAGGCTAAGAGAGGTGAAGTGGCCTGTTTCTAAGAGAAGTGTGATGAGTTCAGCTCTCAAGTTGGACAGGTTGAGTCTGAAGATAACTCCTGGCCGATGTGACGGCTTGTCCCTTAGGGTCACCTGCCGGCTGATTCCAGACGACTTTCTCCCCCATCGGGAGCCTCCTCCTCAGCAGCAGCTGGCCTGTGGGCAGGTCCCGGCTGCAGCAGCCCTTTCCGCGCAGAGGGTCCTTGAGAGAATCGCCATGGCAACCGCACCTCATCCTGCCTGGAGGATCCCGACGCAAGGCCTCCCCATTAATCCCACAGATGGCGGCTTCTCCTCCTGCTGCTGCGCTTTGCGCCTGTGAGGCAGCCCGCGGGGTAAAATAACCAGCCCCTCCACGTGAGCAACGTCACTCCCAGGACTCGGCCCCCTTTGTCGATGTGAAAAACCCCTTCTCCAAAGCTCCAGGGCTGAGCAAAGCTCCCAGATTCTGCAGGAAGCAGTGACACACCAGGGAGGGGGCAACTCTGTCCCCAAGGGACATCTTGAGATGCTTGGAGACATTTGTGGTTCTCACGACTGGTGTGGGTGCTGCTGCCATCTAGTGGGTGGAGGCCGGGGTGCTGGACACACTGTAGGTGCAGGACAGCCCAGAACAGAGAATGACAGGCCCCCAGGGCAGCAGAGCCCAGGGCAAGACACCCTGCTCCCCACACGTTTCCTCTGCAGCCATTGCCCCAATAGCGTGACACCCCCTCAGGTGTCATCACTGGGCTCCGGGGGGTGTTTGGAGTTGCATCTTTGCCTCTCTAGAACCCTCTGTAACTGCAAGTCCACACTGATTCAGAATTTAGCACAGAAATTGTCCAGATTGGCGCTGGATAAACATAAAGTGTCTTAATAAATACTGTTCTGTTACGTGTACCTGTAATGCCAGTAATGTGGTGAAGAAACCGATCCACTGATAAGCTAACAGTCCACTCCAGGCATAACTCAGAAGTTGTACAGGGTGCAAATGTCAGTGTTCTACCCAAAGACAGGCTGCGGGACCTGCAGCTTAAAAAGTGGGCCCCCTTTGCCCAGGCTGGTGTGGCTCAGCTGGTTGGGCATTGTCCAGTGCACTGAGAGGTCGCCCGTTTGAAAGGTCTCCTGTTCGATCCCCAGTCAGGGCACATGCCCAGGTTGCAGGATCGATCCCCAGTCGGGGATACCTTTCGTGGGTGAAAGGGGGTTCTCCAGAATGTAACCTCACAGGATCTGATCGTAAACTCCTGACTCGGCAGGCAGGGTGGGTGGGCACGGCCCAGGCATACAGCTTCTTCAGGAAAAGGCTTACCTTTGCCGTAAGCAAGCGCTGTCCATTGTTTCTGTGCATCTAGGTTAATACCCCTTGGAAGCAAAACCACCCTGAAGAGAGCACGCAGTCCTGTTGACCACCCCGCCACCCAGCCCCACCTCGCTTTCTCCCACCTGCTTTAGGCTCCCACAGTGGGAGCGCCGGACCCGATGTCCGAGGACAGGGGATGGGAGAGGGGCCTCCGAGTGCTCTGGGCCGGCTTGCGGGTCAGCCAGCAGCCACCTCCTCTCCCTGAGCTCCTCCAAGTCAGACCTTCGACCTCACAACTACCGGACAAATATATTTATAGGTGTGTAGAGTGGCATAGGTGTGAGGTGTTTCAGCTATGTGCTATAAAAATAGGAAATAACCTCAAAGTCTCTGACGATGGGGCCAGGTAAATAAATTATGCTACATTCATAAAATAAAATTCTATTCAGATGTTGAGAAATGAGAATCTTCCCCAAGGACTAATATTTTGTTGAGACACGTATGGGACAGCTTATAATCTTTATATTACGTATACAAACTTAACGTGACAGTGCGTAAGGGTTAAGAGAACGGAGAAAATATATTATGCTATATATAATATAAATATTTATAATATATATATTCTTTTTAAGTGCATACAGAAGCAAACACAGCCACGACGTAATACATTTCTGGAAGGATAAGCCAGAAACTGCTAACACGGTCGTCCCGGGGGTGCTCAGGCTGGGGACAGATGAGAGATTACCCCAGTCTCGGAGAGCCCGTGAGCACCAAGCTGGCACCATGGGCGGGCACACTCTTGGCCAGTGTTACCTTCTGGGGTCTTACAGCCTATGACTCAGGCCGTGTTTTAGGCAGGCTTTCCAAACAATGAGTTACGAAAATACTTTAAACCGTTTTCACAGAGTTTTCAGTGTTTGAATAATCTGCCAGCGCTTCCCACATCTGCTGCCATTCTTTGAATCATTAGACTGAAGGATTTATTGTCAATTTTATACTTTTAAGAACATTCGGACAGGTTTACGTTGGGTAAAATGAGGCGGTAGGGAAACGATGTCCTGGGGGGTCTCGGACCTCAGCCCCGGCCCATCTCCTTG